CCCCTTCCCCTTCCCCTTCCCTTTCCTTCCTTAGCATCAGCCCTCTCTTGTCTCCAGACAGTCATGGGACTGAGCAGGACCTTCTGGGTCCTGAGCTCCATCACTTGCTCTTCTCATATTGTCCTAGCCAGAAAAGTTTCTGGAGATGGTTTGATCCTACCTCCCTCCCCAACTATCTAGGTCAAGCTTTGCAGAGCAGGAGCCTCCATTGCTAGCCATGTCCTGGTGGCAGCGGTACTCACTGTGGGCTGATGTCTCTTTTGGCAGGGACACTGCCAGCTGGTGGCCCTGGAAGGGCAGTGGTTTCTTAGCAGAAAAAAATTTAAAAATAATCTTGCGTGGCGTCTGTGAGAGTGGACAGCAGCAATGCTAGCTCTGTAGCAGAAGCCGGGTCAGTGGGTGGACGTAAGCACGAGAGGGAGCTCTGTAGCTCTGTAGAAGGTGCTGGTGGGACAGTTTATGTAAGAGTTCAGCAGAAGTGCATCTCTGCTCCCTGGATGCGGACAGTGGTTAAACAATGCCTGCCAGCACACACTTCCTGGCTCGGGCACATCTGAAGCATGTCACCCCTCGGAGTCCCACTGCAGCTATGCAGTTCCAGTCAGCAGCATCTAGCCTCCCTCCTGCCCTCTTCCACCCACCCTGCTTGTATCCTTGCACCATGTCATTCACCCCATGCTGCCCTGGGATCTGCCTTGCTGCAGAGTGTCCTACTTGGTTGCAGATGGATAGGCTGCAACACCTGTCCATCGGTGAGACTGATGTCATCAGAGAGACCTCTCCGCTCCTCTGCTGTGGCAGATGCTCCTGGAAATGGGGTACCTGGTTTTCTTTCAGAGACGTGGCACTGAATCATAGCCTTGCATAGGCAAGATTCCTCTTCTCCCTGCTTGCCTCTGCCTCCTGTCCTTGTCCATCCCAGAGAATGAAATGCCTTTTCTCACAAAGCCCAACCGGACAGGTATGACCATCATCCCAGCAGCAAGCAGGAGCTCAGAGGGGTCCCTCTGGTGCAGCTCAGAAAAGTTGAGCCCCACTAACTCCCCACCCAGGTATAGTGTCTGGGCTCTGCCTAAGCCCCAGTACTCCTGTTGGTGAGGAGAGCTGGGAAATCATCCTTCTCTTCCTTAATGCTTTGGCCATCTACTTGCTGCAAGTGAGGAAGTGTGATATTTTACTGCTCACACCCCAGCTAGTGGTTTCATCCCTGGGGCTCTCCTCAGCTGAGGTTTGGTCCCAATCTAATCTGCAACCTAAGGTGACCATTCATATGATTTAGACATTGACATGTATCACACAGGGCAGAAATTCCTTATTTGCTCTCCCTCCTTAATATCCCAGGATAACTGGGAAATATCACTTCCCATAAAAGTTCTAGTTTCTATGCGTCAGAGTAGGTTTTACTCCAAACAGCAAGAGGCAGGCTTGGTGGAGTCAGTGAACACTTCCCTAAACTGCTCAATCCTTGCAGTCCAGGGCCCAGGACCTGGAGATCTGTGAGGAAAAGCAGTCTTTATGAAAATGAACAGCATTTCTTGCTCTCTGCTGCTGCAACCTGAGGACATAAATGGGGAACTGACATATAACCTATTCCAGTTTGTGTTTTTTTGATCAAGTGGCCCATCTCCCTAATGCCTGCAGAGCTTTTGTTCCTCAGACATGCAGAGGACATTCCTCAAGCTCCTTCAGTATCTAGGAGACCCCAGGGGCTGCCTCTTAGAGGCTGAGAAACCCCAGTGATACCTGGTCTTCAGCAAAAGACCTCCTTAAGCTCTGATTTTAGGGTACAGAATTGGAGACTCTCCCTGTGAAATGCTTGTAGTCCTCAGTAATGGTGTGTCTGCATTTTCCTGGTATTCAGACAAGCACTCATTCCCTTACCTGTTTTGAGTAACCTCACAGTGGGACCACAGTTACCTGCCACCCACGCTCCTCCCAGCTATGTCCAGATCACCACCATTGTCACACTCTGTGTGTTACACTCCCTGCACCTCCTTTCACTTTCTTTGTCTGACTAGTATAATAATAAATAACTCTCTTTAAAACCAAAGCAGATAGGGCACATGGTGACCCAACCCACATGTCCTCCACTCAATGTCTTCTCTGCATTTTGTTTCCAAGTGATGAGGACGAGTTGAGGAAATCACTCTCGGAGCTGGTAGATGACAAATTTGGAGCCAGTGCGAAGAAAGTGACAAGGATTGTTGACAGCAGCAACCCCTTCCTGGACATCCCCCAAGCGTTGAACGCAGTCACCTACAAGCACGGTGTCCTCACGCGTAAAACCCATGCAGACATGGATGGGAAGAGAAGTACGTGTTAACAGGACAGGAGGAGACATGCCCCAGGCAGTACCAGAGCCTTGCCCTAGACTTCTACATGGTTTGAAGGCATTTCCTCACCATGTCCCAGGGAACACAGGGGAGATCCCCAGATACATAAGTGCCAGGACACGGGGAGAGGAGGGTGTTTTTGAGGCATTTGTAGACATGAATATTTTCAGGAGGCCTCAATCTTCCCTTCTCACGGCCAAGGAACCCAGCAGTGCCTGTCCCACACAGATAGACCTGGTCTTCCACCCTGTTCATGGTCATAATCCTGAATCTCACACTCAGAGCAAAGGGGTGAGGCTGGTTCCACAGCAGTTGTCCACCTCAGCCCTCACCTTGGGGATAGTTTTGTCTTCAAAACTTTGTTCCTGTCCATATTCTGCCATGTGCTGGAAACAGCTGTCATATGCTGACTGGGCAACAGCATGCCTCATAACTCTGCTGTCAGCATGTGGGATCACAGGAAAGGTAAAGGAAAATGTATTTGGGAACTGTTAATGAGCAGAGATTAATGAAACGTTGGGTAACCCTTTTTGCTAATTGATATGATCGACCCAGTCACTGCAGCCCATTAAAAGTCTCAAGTAGAGATTACCACCAAAGACGTCCCTTGCTTCCAGCACTTTCTTAATAGCCCATGCCTGGAGAATTAGCTGCCTTGTGGTGATGTAGATGGCTCCCCTCACTTCCCACCATTCTCCAGCTTCCATCAAGCTCTCTGTCTCCAAGTCCCTTAAGATGGCCGGTGATAATGCTCCCTCCTCAGTGGAACAGAAGCTGCCTTATCCAGAGTATGTCTGCCTAACTCATCTGAAGCAGAGGAGCTCAGGGAACATCTCTGCTCTCCTCAAGCATTTAGTCCAAGGAACATGAACCTGGGTTTTGAGGAGCAGAGACTTCTTGCATGTGTCCACTGATACTCCTATACCAGCTCATCTCTGGTTTTGACCTGCTTGTGTTTCTACTGGGAGGCTGTATCTCCCAGCCCACATCTCTCAAAATACATGTCCCCACAGACAAGAAACTCATAAGCAATGGCTTGGAGGTGTATGAGGTCTGGGCATGAGTACATGCCTGTGGTGGGTCAGAAGAAGTGTTGATTTGACAGAAGTGTGAAGGTCCAGCAGCACTGGCAGAAGCAGGCAGGTATAATTAAATGTTCTTCCTTTTTTAGCTCCCAGAGGAAGAAGAGGTTGGAAGAAATTTTATGCTGTGCTTAAAGGGACCGTCCTTTATTTACAAAAGGTAATTGTAGTGGACTACCCCATTTGCTGTTTCATGCTGTCTTCAAAGCAGTTGTGCTGTTCTAAGCAGGAGGCCCATAGATGCAAGTAGAGGTGAATCCATATCCAAATGCATGCATGGACATCCACAGAGCTCCTCCAGAGACCACTATACAGAACTGGAGGATGCCATCATCTTTGGTGGTGGTGTTCATGCTAAGGGTGCTATTCGCAGTCTCAAAAGAGCGCTATACAGGAAGAACTTGGAAAAGAGGAACATTGAGGCAAGATTTCTGCAGAAGTGTCCTAGCAAGTAGGAGTTGTTGGGGAGGATGAATGAACAGATGATACAGAATAAGTGATATAGGATATTGGTGAGACATGCAATAGGAAGCTGAAGAGGTGGAGCATCAGACCAGTCTTATCCTATCTATTGTTTTATTTGCTGGCATAGTTCTGATTATGAGCAGCTTCGCTGAGTCTGGTATGGACCACGCTTTAAGTTTCTCTTCTCCTTCAGGACCTTGCTGAGTTGGGTCCTTCTATGCGTTGCCAAGTGACTACCTCTGTTAATCTCTGTTCATTCTGTAGCCCCCTCTAGTCAATAGAAGTATAAATCCCAGGTCCTCATGGGAGGCAAACTCACCATGGAAGAGCTTCCCTGCATGCTATCATTCAACTCTGCTTTTCAAGATATTTGGATGCTAGGAGGACTTCCATGGATAGTCTTTTCTGTGGGAAAACCCAAAGAGCCTGGATAGGGGCTCACATGGATGTCAGTGTGAGCCTGCTAGGGATGCCAAATGCCTGTTCGTCATGCAACAGCATAACCCACTGAACTAAGTCTGAACTACCTTAGTAGCACATGGTGTGCAGTAACCCATTGAACTCACCTTGCTGGAACAGCACTCCCTGTGGGTAGATGTTCCTGTGTATTGCAGTATTATCTCCAAAACAATGAGAGTAAACAAACATTGGATTATATAAGCAAGGCAGAAAGATCCTCAGGGCAGCATGGAATTGTGACTCAGAGCTCATAGCACACCCCAATGCTTCTCATGTTTTGCCAGATCCTATGGCACATGTCACAAAGCCAAGAGAAATCTGGCAGCAGCCAATCATGATTTACACTATGGATTGTTCTCAGCCAAGTGGTATTTTTACAGCCTTGCCACTCTCTTCTGCAGCTGAGGGAAGCTGCAGCATCCATGAGAGCCCAGACCTTCTCCAGCTCTCTAAGAGTGGTGTTCTTCAAGTCAGTGGCACTTTTCTTAACATCTCAGTCTCTTGTGTCCACATGGAGTCCACCAAAGAGGTCCTTATGATGACCATGGGTGATGCATGAGGATTTAACTTGTACAGAGCTACCATCAACACTTAATTTTATGATAGTTTTTCTATGGAAAAAAACCCAAAACAAAACAATTTCATAAAAATTGGACCTAAGTGAATATTTTACCAAGGACTTCTAGGGAATGTCTCTTGGGCTAAGTCTGTTGAGGGTGTATATATTGTGAATGAAATACACTTTCAGGACAGAATGTTCTTCCCATGCTGGACCAAAATCCAGCTTACTGAAGATTTTCATGGCTGCTTGGACAGCACAAGAAGGGGCCATGAAGCCAACACTGAGTGTCACTGATGCTGATGGGGCTGAGGGTTTGGGTTTTATTTACTGTACAAGGCTGGCAGCAGTAACCATCCAGACTGTTAGATCAACACAGTTCTTTATGTTAGTACTAGATGTCTAGAATTTAAAAAGATATGAGATTGACATGGCAGTTAGAAGACCAGTGTTCTTATCCAGATGACCTTCAGGAGCAAATGGTTAAGAGACTGAGGGCTTTCTTTACAGACAAGGACTGAAGAAGCAAAACACCTAAGATATGGCTAGGTTATGAAAGTGTCTGATAAATAACAGCCATGACTGATGTGTAATTAGCAGGAGGGACCAGAATTGCCAAGGGTGCCCCAAGGAAGTAGCATTTGGAACAACAACAAAAATTAACCTGAGGAATGTTTGGATAAAGGATTTGGGCAAAGAGGGATTTCTTAGTCATGAGCTGCTGCCAGACTGTATATGGTCCTCTTCAGAGGATTCCTTGGGCTGGGCTTGGCTGTAGACAATGTCTATCAGGCTTGCAGAGACAGGACAGAAAGATGAGACCGCAGAGACAGGACAGAAGGATGAGACAGCAGAGACAAAATCCTTGCCCTGACACTTCCAAATGTTCCCAGCACCACAACAGAGAGTGGATAATCATCCACCTGCCTTGTTGATTCTTAGTGCAATTCTTGCTAATGGACAAGAGAGTTGTACAATACAGGAAGGAAATGGTGTGCCAGCCTCCCAAGCTCTCAGAGGAAGATGCCTGCAGATAAACATAAGGTAGAACCTGGCTTGAGCACAAACCACGGGGAAAAGATTTTTCTGATATGTATCCTGGTTTTGCTAGGATAGAGTTAATTTTCTTCTTAGAAGAAGATAGAAAGAGTACCTGCTTCCAGACCCACCTGGTGCCAAGGAGCACAGGTTCAGCCTGTTCCAGTTTTTTGCTCAGACCAAACCAAGGATCTAAGCTTTAATAGGAAATTCCCATAATTTTAATAGGAAACTCTAAATCAGGTTTTGGGGAGCAATTTGAGTAGAAATAAGAATGAAAGAGAGGAAAGGAGGGGGAAAAGGAGAGCCTGGGGAGACAGGTGTATAGAAAGGAGAAATGGCCAGATGCAGAGAGGTGGATATAAGATAGGCAGAAGAGTGAGTGAGTGGACAGGTAGAAGACGGTCTGTTAGAAGCAATTCAGGCAGCAGCCATAAACCTGCTGATGTTGAGATGTCACATGTCATTGACTCCCCAGTGTTAATTGCTGGATTAGTGTGTTCTAGCATAATCTGCTGAAGCAACTGGTTGATCCCCTAAAGGGATGCAGCACAGTATTGAGGAAGAAATGCAGGTTTGGGAGCAGGGCGCACCTCTCTTGTGCTCTAATCTGCACTGGGCACTGACTCATTCCATGGCCTTTGGCAACTTACTTCACCTCTGAGAAATGGGGATAATAACCCTTAATCACCACAGGTGGAGGGTTATTGAGAGGAATGATGGAGAGCTATAAAGCATGAGGTGCCTTTACACAGACTGCTCTTGCAGCCCCCAACCATGAAGGAGTTCCCAGTGCAGGCCTGCGCCACAGATGCTGTCCCTTGCAGGCAAGTCCTTGCCATGGTAGTGCTACTTGGAGTGCCAAGTTCATGACCAGACTGAAAAAGGTGCAGTGGTTAGTTTTCCTCATTAAATGATTTGTTTAGGTTGGTAGATGTGAGCTGAAGAAAAGGAAAAAGAGGAAATCCTACTCATGAGCCAGAGCACGAGAAACCTTTGTAGCTCCATGCCCATATTTGCATGACTGCTCAGGGCTGTTGTTGAGTCCAGAGGAGAGGGCATCAGGACCAGTACACTGGGCTCTCTCACCCCACCCAGGTGCCCTACGAAGGCAGGCACAAGAGGTAGATGCTTTTTCTTGACAAAACAAGCTTTGAGCTGGGAGCTCATATTAGTTGTGGATCTCCCACTACCCGCTCACAGTGGTGAGCAGTAGGGGAGAGCTGGCATCAGAGTGAACCAAAGACACCATGGAGCACTGATATATCAGAAATTAAGCCCAGAAAAGGGGGTGATTGTGCATGTTTAAACAGCCTTTGTGCAGGCAGGATAGGCTTATAAACAGGGAGTCTGTCTACAGCATCAACATTAAACGCTGCAAGTGGATAAATTAATTTAGAGGGATTCCGAAACAAAGTGTCTACACCTAAGCTCAATTCCTGCAGAAGATATCCCCAAAACAGACCATGAAAGTTGCTGACCCCCACCATCCTACACCTGGAGGAGCAAGGGGAAAATAAACATGTTGCCATTCAAGGACAGGGGGCTAAGGGTAACTGGGATGGTGTGGCACAGCATACCTCACCCATTTCCCAGCGACAAGTACCTCTGTGAACAGAGCAGCGCACATAAGACAAAAATTCAACAGCCTGTAATACCAAATTAACCCCTTTTCCAGGAAATGCATGGCAGGATAACACCAAGAAAAAAGTGAGAGTGAGGTTAGCAGCACTCTAGCGTGGACAAAAAATTGCCTGAAGTTCTTCCAAATATGATACTGCTTATGTTTTGGCCTAAATCAGTTTCTTTGAGATATAAACCAGAATCCCTTCACTGAAAGTATCTGTGTGACTATTATGGGTTTGGACACGTCTTTTCTTCAGCAGCAGTTTATGCACACACTTAAACTTACATCAAAGCTCATAAAGGGAGTGAGGCAGAATGTAGAGAAGCTGCTGGAGACTTTGGAGCAGAGCTGACATGCTTTGCTGAAGGTCAATGGGATTATTCTCCAGAGGAAGGCTACATGGTGTAGCCTACACTACAGTGTAAGTACTGGGCACTGTGATGGCTCCAGTCATCAACAAAGTAGAGAGAACCTACTTGATTCAACCTTACACAGATTTACTGGGCCCAATGTTAGAAAAAGAAGATTTGGCTTTTCCTTATACCTACATTGATGCTTGTGAGCCTGAAATCAGTAGAGGCAATACATGATGATACCATTCGAGGTGAAGATCTACATTAGTTAAACTCGTTTGCAGCCATGGCAGTTTCCCTTTGTCACATGCCATTAAGTCTAGCTATTTGCACTGTATTTTCAGAAAGCTTATCTTGAAATAAGAGATCATGGGCATCACAGTGAGATTTATTCAGATTCAAAGAGATTCAGCCTTGGAAAAACATTCAGAATTGGAAGTCTCTGCACAATATACGAGGCCTGAGCAGCAATGTCTTCCTCAAGCAACTATTTGTCTCCAAGTAACTCCAAGTTACCCCAAGTATGGGGTAATCTATTAGGTCCAGATAAGGCAAAGAATTTGTTTTTCATTGTTAAAAGGCTAATAGCCCATTCCTCTGGCTACTGAAATCCCCACTCTGGAAAGGTCATCTATACTGCCCCGCAGTGCAGTCCATCTGAATGTCACCCTGAACACAGGGTGCCTGCAGCACCCACCCCTTCCTCTGCTGGAAAGCCAGGGCTTTTCTTTGGGGTTCACTCTTAAGAAGGAAGTTGTGTGAACCAGAAGCCCATGCTAGACATTTCTAGGCTCTGGTCTCCATGGTATTTCTTCACATAAGGCCAAATATCAGATGCTGGTGAACACAGTATGACAACCACTCTCCTGGATGGGATGTTTACTTCAAAAAAAGGAGGGCAGAAAAGGCTTCAGAACCTTATTTTCCATCAGGAGCAAGGGTCTGTGTGAGCCACATCCATGGACTGGGGAGTGCTGGTCCCTGGTGCTCTGTAGAACAACAGAGGTGAGACCTTTCTACCCTACATCAGAGAATAGCCTTACTGACCAGAGTCAGCAACCAGGAGACTGTAGCATGGCTTTTCACTGAATGGCTGGATTTGTACCACCAGGACACAGGAAAAAACATCTTTTTGCAAATCTGCAGAACAGACTAAGCTCCTACCTGAAACCTAATGGAGGGCTGGGACACATATAACACTGCCATCGGGCAGAGCCGCCCCTTTTCTTGACAGCCAAGGACAGTCAAGGAAAGCAAAACATAAGAGCAAGTTAGTCCTGTAGGTTTGCACTAATCAGCAGGGCAAGGCAGGCTCTTCCAGGGACACCCTGTCCTGATATGGCCCCTAACACAGTCAGGGGTGGTGGGGTGGTGGTTTGTTTTAGCCAGGGCCAGGTTTTCTTACATCCACCTCTCCATGTGTGCATGCCTCCATCCATCCTTCCATCCCACCACTCAGCTGGATGAGCTGTTGAGCTGGCAAGGGTGCAGAGTGGAATGGAGGACATCCCTTTAAGTGGCCGGGAGCTCAGTCACTGGGAAAGCAAAGGGTAAACACAGGACAGATTGAATTCCTTCTTTTCCTAAAAAGTGCTGTGCCAAGATCATCCTTTCAGAATCCCATGTTCCGTATTTTCTTTCTGTTTATAAAGTATACACATATATAGTTATTGCTGCATTCCCTGCTTGTGTTAAATTGTCCTTCGGTGGATAAAGTAAAGCAGGAATATAGGGAATGCTGCTGCAATTTGCAAGTGCCAGTCTAATGAATTACATCAGAGAACATGTCAAAGGGGCACAGGTACTAAAGAGATACTAAGCATGGTTCAGGTGCACCACGCTCAGTCTGGCAACTGCCCGGCAAGCCCCACACCTGCATGGAGATACACTGGCTGCAGGAATTCTGCTGTTCCAGGGCTGCCCGAGATGGTGCAAAACCTGAGTCCAGATCCTCTGCCACACAAAGCTGCAGCATCAGGGCAGGTGCTCAGTGATACCTGCCGGCAACCAGGAGTTGCATCCCAGCTTCAGCTCTGCACTGTGGGTGAAGCTCTGCAGAAACGTGGCCCCGTCTTGTTGCCTTCCCCCAAAGCCTCAGGCGTGTGCCGTGTTAGAGATAACTATTGATAATTATGTTTAAAACTTTCATCTCCTTCTTCACATCTTCCCAGTGAACTTAATAATAGAAGAAGTTGCCAGATGTTAATTACTATCATTATCAGCTCCTAGCATTTACTGTACAAAGCAGTGCTTTTCCTGGTCTCAGCAGTCTGTGATTATAGCACAGAGAAAGGCAGGTTCATTAAAGTAGCCCACAAACGTTAGTGTTGTCATTATCCAATTAACGTTCGTCTTCTCAGGATGAATATAAACCTGACAAAGATCTCTCTGAAGTGGATCTAAAAAATGCCATCCGTGTGCACCACGCCTTAGCCACGAAAGCCTCTGACTACAGCAAGAAGTCCAATGTGCTCAAGCTGAAGACAGCTGACTGGAGAGTCTTCCTCTTCCAGGCCCCGTAAGTACCAGCTCTTCCCACAGAGCCTGGATGGGCAGCCTGACCTCCAGCCACTTCCAGACTCCCTCCAACCTGGCCATATCAACACATGCATTAGGGAACAAAGCTGGGAGAAGGAAGGTGCTCAGCAGGAGGGCTGAGCGTGAGGTCTGTAGGGCTGTACAAAGGACTTGGTCATGGCGTCACAGTTTCTATCTATCACTCTTGGTAGCTGTGTGTCAGTCCTGGAGGTCCTTTCTCATCTGTCACCAAGGTGGTCTGAGCAGGATGAGCTGGGATGTAAGGTGCTGAGTAAAGTTCCCCTTACTAACTTCTACTGTCAGTCTGTGGAAGGGAGAAAATCTGTATGGTGCATTGAACTAAGGAGCTGATTGTTCCCCTCATCAGCTTTTGATGGGAAAACTGTCTAAAGCTTATTAAAGAAGTGTCCCCAGTCAGGCTATATCTTCTTTCTTTCTCAGTCCATTGCAGAGGAAAGCTGCTGTGCTAATAAGTGTCAAATGTGATTGAGTCATCTTCTGTTTGATGTTTTTCTTGTCTTCTGCTGAGACAGGTGACATTGTCTGTTAGTTGGCCTGGGGTACTAATGTCAGGCTAAAGCCTGACATCTGAATATGTGCAGCGAAAACCCACTTGAAGGCTGGGGAAATCAGTGCCTGAACAGATCTGATGAGGGATCCTGGGTAGTGTCCCACAATTGACACAAATGAGGGGTCCACCCTGCTCCACAGGACATCTGTTGTGTGACTCCCACTCTCCAAAGAGCAGGATATCCTTGGCCTTTGCCACCACACTACATCTCCCCGGCTCCTCAGGGAATGCAATCAGAGCTGACGAGGAAGGCAGGACTGCCAGGGCTTCAAGGGGCAGACAACAGCCCTGAAATCATTAGGGCACTGTAGAGGAGCTAATTAGTCAGTGTTTTCCTCTGTTCACAGTCCAGGGTGGCACAGAAATGGCTTCAAAGCAAGGCCACTGATGGCCTTCCTAAGAGTGTGTGGTTCCAGCTCAGTGTGTTCTGAGCTGGCTAGTCCTGGGTCAGGAGCATTTACAGACAATCTCTCTCTTCTCCTCCTCTCCAGAAGTAATGAAGAAATGCTCTCCTGGATCCTGCGGATCAACCTTGTTGCTGCCATTTTCTCTGCCCCAGCCTTTCCAGCTGCAATCTGCTCTATGAAGAAGTTCTGCCGCCCACTCCTGCCTTCGTCCATGACCAAGCTGTGCCAGGTAACATGTAAGAGAAGGAGCAATGAAGGGGTGGGCGGCCCTGTGGCACGCAGCTCAGACTGAGCCCTTCTGCAGCTCCCCCAGCTCCTGCCCAACAGATACATTCACGGCAGGAACAGGGAAGTGGTGTGGGTGACTTGGGCAGACTGTGGTGAATCCCTGTGTCTGACCAGTGCTTCCTTTGCAATGGCTATCAAGCAACCCTACGCACACACCCCTGCCTCTATGGCTGTTGTTTCTGGCTTGTTTATTGCTCTCTGCCCATCATATCCCAGCACCTTTCAGCTTTGCCAGAGTTGAAACAGTTGGTGCTACTGAGGCCATCAGCTGGCTGCAGCCCTGGCTTATTTTATAAGATGGCACTCAGAGGTGGCACCCTGTTGTTTCTGAAGTCAAAAAGTGTCAGATGCAGGGTGAGTCTGAGTCCCATTCAGTGGGGAAGGTTTTTTGGAAGCAAGGGGGCACAGTGCACTAGACCATGGCTGCTTAAGGCTCAGTTAACTTAGAGCAATGGGCAGCTGCCATCCAAAGAGTAGCTTTTTTTTGCACTGTCCAGGGAAAATCCAACATGCCTTAGCTCCTCCAAAAAGTAGGGACACGCTGTTACTGGCCCCCAGCAAAGGGGAGGACAACTTGAAATGTCAGAGCAGAGATACAACTTCTATCTGCTGAACTAGATGTGGCCAGATGTCGCTTTTGTCAGAGTCCAGATGGGGAGGGTACATTTATCTCAAAAAAGAGCAGGATGAACAGGTCTTGGAACACTGCTGGTTCCACCTGGCTGTTAAAGGATGCAGACCATTTCAAGTTTATGATGCTAAAGAGGCCCAGGTGCCAAAGATATCCACTCTTGGCACTTGTGATACATGAGTTTTGATCTGACTCAAATATCTGTGTTTCACCTGCTCCTTATCAGATGAATTTGCAAATGAATTGTACACCTTTGGCTCCAGCACAGTAGCTATGCTTAGGTCCTTGCAGAGACAGATCCCACATCAACAGGCAGACGGTGCACTTGGGCGTTGCACTCCTACATTTTAATACCTGACATGCTTCTCTCGGCAGGAGGAACAGCTGAGGTCTCATGAAAATAAAATGAAGCAGATTGCAGATGAATTAGCAGAGCATAAATTACATCCTGTAGAGAAGAGCCTCAAGTCAAAAGAGGCTGAGGAATACAGACTCAAAGAACATTACCTAATATTTGAGGTAAAGGATCTTTCATCTTTTCTGAAATAAATGATGCCTTGGCTGATTGAGGAGAACTATGAACTCTGGAGTGGATGCTGTGAGCCTGGGAGAGCATGAAGGGAGAGCGAGGGTTGAGGGCGCACAAGCTGGATGGGCATTTTGGGGCACCAGCAAGTTTCACTGTTTTGCACTGAAGCTAAAAAAGAAATAACAGACATTTCTTTCTCTCTGTGATTTCTAACCAGAGGAGGGGAAAACTGGTGAAAGAAATAAAATCTTCCTTTACTGTGCCAAAACTTGACATTTCCATAGGTCCCAACCAAGAAAGTGGTTCAGTTCTTAGTGTGCATCAGTTTTTTTCAGCAAAACTAATAAAAAGCTAAGGGAATCCCTGGGAGAATTAATCTTGTTTTGCTGCAACTCTGTAACTAAGCCAAAACCAGCATTACAGCTCTTTGGGGATGCATGTAGCTAAGTTTAAACTCTCTGCAGAGCCTAAGAAGCATTTATTTGTGGGAGAAATTGGATATTTTGTTCCAGTGAGAGTTGAGCAGAAGATGTGATTCCTGCCACACAGGTGTCAGTGGGAAGCAGTGGACTGCTGGAGGCCCAGGTTGAGTGCATCATATTGTGTCCAAGTCTCAGAAATTTCCAAGGATGGAAATGTCCCACCTCCTACGTACCAGGGCTGCAACATCCTTTTGTGTAACACTCACCCTGACTCTCTGAAGCCACAGATTCTGGCTGCTGGTTCCCTTGTCTTTATACCAGCCCTTCAAATATTTCCTTCTTGCTGCCTCCTGTTTTCCAGACATCTTGTTTTGGATGCCTGTAGAGAAGTCTCCATCTCAGTGTTTTCTCTAGGCTGCCTTTTCATTCTGCAAGGAGAAGTTGGCACTTCCAGAGCCTAATTCATCTCATCTGTCTTATGAGATGTGCTCTAGAAATGTTTGTTTCACTGTGTTGACAAAGTATAGGCTGCCTCTGAGATGTTAGGGGAAAGGACAAGTATTACGCAAGTCCACAAAAAGAGGTCCAATCTAGCCTTGGAATTAAGGTGCCAGACAGAGAGGAAATGCCTCCCTTTATGCTGTCCTTTGTGAGGAGCAATGGAGGCACAACTCAGCAGTATCAAATGAATCACTGGATGGAAACAATGGCAAGCATAAGTATTTGAAACAATCGAGGGGAACTCCTAAATGAGGAAGGAGCAGATCTCTTGGTCTGGTTTTGCCTCTGGTATCCTGGAGCCTTATACAGAGTGGCAGTCAACACATGTAAGAGCAACTAGAAAGACTTGCACAGCCCTTCCCTCTCTCCTCAACCCTTTCAATGATGGGTTGATCAGTCTTTGCAGGCTTTGGATAGACCAGGCATTGTGCTGTGGTTAAACAATACTTGTTGGGTGTGATTAGTGGGATTCTGATGATATGGGATGGGTTTTCCATGCATGCTGTGGCCTGTCCCTGTTCCCAGGCTCTCTGTTCCCTCTTTCCTTGCAGAAGAGCCGCTATGACACATACATCAACCTGCTGTGCATGAAGATAAAAGTCGGGACAGATGACCTGGAGAAAATTGAAACCAGTTTCTTCAAGGTGGAAGCTGACGACATTGCTTTGCGCAAGACACATTCAAGTCCTTCCTTGAGCCAAGGGCACATGTCCATCAGCTGTAAGGCAGAAAAAGACATTTTAGAGCAGAATACTTAACAAGGAATGTGTGCACAGAGGGGATGAACCGGCAATGCTTTGCGCTCTTGGACTAGATCGATGAGCACAATTCCAATTAGGAAATTACACTGGCAAATCCGTAGACATGTATGACACGGTGGTTGCTCTAGTGAAAGAAATCAAAGAAGCTTTAGTTGACACTCTCTGGCAATGCTCTGACATTTCAGCATCATAGACATGCCATCTCTTCTTCATCCTCAACAGCACCAGTGGCTTTTCTTTCCCTTTTACCACAGCCTGCACAACAAAGGGATATGCTGGTTCTCCAAGAGCAAGGTTGCTCTTCTCTCCACCAGCCCCGTCTCTCCCTCTCCTTCTCTCCCTGGAGTCCCTACCAGTTCATGTCCACAGTTCCCAGCAGTGCAGGAAACTCAGCTGAGACGATGGTCTGTGACACCACCAATGCTCCCAGAGAAGGGCACAGAGTGGCTCCACTGAGAGGAGCAACATTCAGCATGTTGTGATAGGATGGATGTCATGAACTACTCACTGATGGAGCGAGAGGTGTCTTCAGCATGGCATGTGGGAATGTCATCTGCCCATGGCAGGAGAGTCCTGAAGTGCCCTCTGTCACCTTATCCTTTATATATATATATATATACACACACACATGAATATATATATATAAAAAAAAAGGAAACTTTAATGTGGGTTTTTAACCTCAGTGTGAAAGCAAAGGCAAGCTGCCTGGGATGACACTAGGGACCATGGAGGGTCTGACCAGTCCACCAGGATTTTTTTGAAAATGCAGTAGCCTATGTATCTTCTTTTTTCTTTTTTTCCTTTTTTTACTCAAATGGAAATTCCACCCGTCTTTGCTGTGAAACATCGCTTTCCTCTTCCTGCTTGTTCAGACAAACTGGCTAAGTGGCTGCTTATTTAGTATCCCACGTTGGGCTTGAGGCACAGTTGGAGCCGTGCTTCAGATCCAGCTGAACCTTTGTGTGCGGGAACAATCCAATATGCTCATCAGTGTTGTACTTCCTCCATTTTGCAATGCACATGCAATACTCTTTTAAGTGGGAAGTTTTGTTTCTGTTCCTTTCTGCTGTCTGTGGTCCAATGATTTATTGTTTTGCTAGAAGTGATTCCTCTGCATTTCAATGCCACAACTGTCCTCTCTTTATTTATTTATTTTACTGTGTGGTTTGGTCCTTTATATCAGATTGCTTTTCTTTCCCCTAGGTGAACTCACAGTAATCAAGCTCCAGTTTTGAAGGATCTTGTAGCTGCTACTTACAGTCATTTACTGTTTATATTTTGCAGCATTTTTTTAAACAAATGAAATAAGATTTATTTGGACGTTCAACATTTGAGAGCCTATGGACTACGGTTTCCATTAGGGTTCACGACACTAAAAACCTCTGCCCAACTTTGTCACCTCTTCTTTTATCTGTTTCTTTGTACAGTTTGATAGTTTATTTGAAATGATGCACTAAGAATCATGTAAAAAAGAATAACAATAAAGCTGAATCTGTTGGTAATGAGAATTGGTCTGAAGTACAGTTCCACCATGTGCTGGATTGGTCCCAGACTTCATGGTACTAGATGGCCAGGCTGTCACAGATCTCCAACAGCACCTGCTGCATGAAAGTCAGGTTCCTATGAACAGAGAGCACCAGAAAACTGCAATGTCTGGGTGGGGTACCAGCACATCCATCTTCCTGGGTGCTGAAAGCATTGGCCTGTCCATGCTTTGGAGGGATGGCTTGTCCAAGGAAAGCCATCCATTTGTGGACAGATAGGCTGCTTTAGGAACACACTCAGGTAATTTTTCCCCCCTTCTGGTGCATCCCAGATCTGTCTGTTCACATGCAGCCTAGAGGTGTGTGGGAGGAGAAAGATACCAACATCTGCATTGGTTGTTGGAGATGTTCCATGAACTGTTCCTAGAGGAGCCCGTGGCTACATTGAGTGTCATGGCTATTTCTCCAAGGCAGGATGTGCTTTGCTGTGTCAGGTACAGACATCCCTTGCACTGAAGGTGTCCAAGATGCTGCTACTCACATGAAACATCTGGTGTTCAGACTCACACAGTAGAAGACTGGGGGAAAGAAGATGGGGGAAAGCCAGTACCTCAGCCTGATCTTTCTGACCATCCCTTCCAGCAAGCAGTGACATCTCCAGTGTGTTTGAGGAAGCCACCAAGAGCAGCTCAGTCCCCCATGCTGAAGGTACCAATCTGCCATCCTAAGTCAAGAGTAAGTTGCAGGAAAAAGCAGGATCTTGCAAAGTCTCCTCTGAGTACCACGAAAGGGCCTCAGAACTATGACACTCATCATCCAATGCATGTGGAAAGTGGTGGCAGTTGGCATTAAACAGCCCTTGGCAAGACAGCTAAGAGATTAAACTTGCTCACTGCAGGGGGTTTGGACTAGATTACCTTTAAAGGTCCTTGCCAACCCAGCAAGACAGCATTGCCTGACAGTGCTGGTTCAGTCTGACCTTCCTGCCAGGCCCCTTCTCCTGGACACAACCTGACACCAAATTCATTTTAGAGGGACTTTTTTGGGGCAGAGGCTTTGCAATCCCAAAGTAAGGACCCAAGACTCCTCTCCTGCTTGCATCACTCCATCTGTGTCAGTGGCGCAATTCCCTCCCCTCTGGGAAGAGCAGCAAAGGCATCGCACATGCAGAGCAGAGGTGGCAGGAGGCTTTGGTGGCTCCCCAGACCTGTGAAAATTGCTGTAAAATACTTACAGCCAAACCCTAGAAATACACATGGCTGGAAATGAGGGGTCTAAAAATAAACCATCCAGGGAAAAAGGAGAGAGATAGAAGCTTCCTTCAGGGGCAATTGGAGAGCAAATTGAAGTAGTGTAACTGCCTCCAAATATAGAACACAATTATGGGAATCGAGGGGCATGTTGAACAAGAAATCACCACAAGAAATCATGAGGTTGTCATGGCTCAGAGCTAGCAGTGTCTCAGCAGAATGCAGAGCACCACAGATCCCTGCAAACCATGGAGCAGTAAAACACTCCCCTGCACAGGGCAGCACTGGGCAAACCTGCAGCTCCTTTTCAAGGGAACCAAAGAGGAGACCACGACGGTAATGCCTGGCATGGATCAGCTGCACTGAGCACAACCCGAGGTTCAGCCACACCATCGCTCTGCACCTCAGCCCAGACCATGGCAGCAGGACACCCAAGAGCCTTCTTGTAATGCAGATGATGCTGTGCCAGCCCTAGCTGGACTTCTCCACAAACAAACCTCACCAGCTGATGAACACTGAGGAGAGCCAGGTAGGGAGATGACGTTGCTTTGGGAATCCAAAGGCCCCCCCAACTCTCTCTTCTATGTCTGGTTTCCCTAGGGATCCTCATCCTCAGTGACCTCCCACACACCTCCCTTCCAGAGGGTCAGGTGCTCTCTGCCCATTCCTATCCATCTCACCATGCTCAGGAGATGCTGGAGGAGATAAGTTGGAGTACCAAAGGCATCAAGGAGACACAGCCTGTCCCAAGAGTAATAAGAAGGTAGAGAGCTACACAGTACTGCTGCTTTTATCCAGCAAGGCCTGAGGCTGTGCAGAAGTGGGACATGATGTGTCCAAAGGTTACAAAATGTCACCTAAACCAGGACTTGACCCTACTACCTTTATCCCCAGTCCAAGACATGTAAGACCTACTTTGCACATTGCTGTTGGGTCACATGGACCCCAAGAAGGGCACGATCCTTTAGCCCTTAAACTTTTGAGAAATCAGTGTTGAGATGCCTTTATTCAGGTTGAAGTGCTGAGCCCTCTGGTCTGGCTGGAGTCCCCACAGCACATGCAATGAATCTCAGGGGTGGCCTGTGACCCAGTCAGGTCAGCTCCAAGGCAATGGGGACCCTGGGGATTCTGGAGCAGAAGAACTGTGAGTGAACTTAGCACGAGCATCATTGTGAGGACTGGAGACTTCTCTCATGGCTCTGCACGTTCCTGTGGGGTAAACTCAGAGCAGTGTGTAGCAGATCCCTCTCCCACTAGGTGAGTTCAGTTGGGACTTCTGGGCACCTGTTCATCTCACTGAGCAGGAACAAGGCAGTGAGGTCCAAGCTGGACTGAATAGTGGGTGCAACCCTGAGAACTGTGCTTCCTGTGAATACACCACATTCTCAGTGATTCCCCTCCATGGGGGCCTAGCCAGAGACACAGACTTACCATAGAAGAGCTGAAGAAGGGACCTGTTTTGTGGGTGGGCAGATGTTGCATGGCACTTGCAGAACTGGACCAAACACATCTCCACTTTACTTCAAATGTCACTGAAATGAGTGTCAGCACGTGAAGCACATGCCATACATCTTGGCCCTTCTTGGCCCAACAGCTTCCACAAGTAGGGTGAAGAGGGATTTCCCAATCTGCAGGTGGAGAAGGAATGGCATCCCTCCAGGAGACATGTGGGTAGCATCCACTCACCTCAGTGAGCCACCACTCCTGAGTCCTGCAGTGAAGGTCAAAGGTCCATGCCAGGTAGAAAAACACCCAGCTGTGAGTCTCTATGAGCATAAATGTGTTTATGGAACCAGAGCATCTTTCATATGAGAGGCTCAGAGAGTTGGGACTGTTCACAGAATCTCAGAATTACCTAGATTGGAAAACACCTTTAAGATCAAGTCCAATCATTAACCCAACAATGACAAGTCCCCGACTAAACCATGTCCCTCAGCACTATGTCTACATGACTCTTAAATACCTCCAGGGATAAGGACACACTGAAGAGAAAGCGCAGGGGGACCTTATTCATGCATACCTGGGGAGGAATAACCCCCAGCACCAGTACAGGTTGGGGTTTGACCTGCTGGAAAGCAGCCCTGCAGAGAAAGACCTGGGAGTGCTGGTGGATGATCAGTTGACCATGAACCAGCAATGTGCCATCGTGGCCAAGCAGGCCAGTGGTCTCCTGGGGGGCATGAAGAAGAGTGTGACCAGCAGGTCAAGGGGGGTATTCCTCCCCCTCTACTCTGCCTGGTGAGGCCACATCTGGAGTATTGTG